CACTCATGGTGGATCGCCCGACGTACCCGACCCCAACTCGCGTCCTTTGGCGGACCCCGGCGACCCGGGCCGTTGCGCCCGGGGTCCCCGAGGCCCACCCGGTCCCGCGGTCTCCGAAGCCATTGGGGAGCAAGCAATCAAAGAAGTCGTTTCCGGACTCTCTGCTCGGGAGTGGCTCTAAGCCCGACGACCCCCCGACGGCATCCGCCTCTGCGCCCGGTGCCGGCCGCGTCATGGTTGTCGCAAGTACAACCCCAGGACCCGCTGATCCCGGACCCCAGGTCCCGAGGAGCGAGTCCTCGGACTACGACGCCCAGACTCTCTCAAAGGGGGAGTCCGCTCCAACGATCACGCCCCTCGGGAACCCGTTCCGGGGTCCTGTGAGTCCGCGCCCATGGATGCCCAAGTCGCATTGGCCCGGTCGTTCGTATTGGTCGCGATGGCTGGGGAAACTCTCGACGCGGAGCCTGCAGTTTATTATCACCAAGGTTCTGCTTTTAGACATGCTCAAGAACCAGCTGGCGTATCTCCCCGACCTCAGCGACCTCCGGCCTGAGTCCAACATCGACGATGCGGTCGTCGGTGAGCCCGGGGAGTCGGACCCCGAAGAGGAGGAGCGACTACGGGCCGTCCTCCGGAAGCATCGAATGATTTTCTTGGGAGAGGGAAACGCACTTTCCCCCCCGGCCCGGGGCGTGGTATGCGACTTGGACGTCGGGGACGAAAAACCCATTTCCATGCGATCCCGGCGGATCCCCGCCGACTTACTGTCCAAGGTGTACGAGTTGCTCAAGCGAAACGGGCCTGATCGAATATTCCAACTCGGAATGGGCGTCGGCCATCGTCCTCGTGATGAAGAAAAATGGTACCGATGTCCGCCTGTGTATCGACTACCGGTTGGTGAATCAGCTCATTAAGTTGATGAACTATCCCCTACCCCTGATCGACGAGCTCATGAGCAATTTCGCCGCCACCATGTGGTTCATGACCCTGGACATGGCAAGCGGGTTTTGGGCGGTCCCGATGACGGCCCGGCCCCCAGCCGATCTCGGCCTTCATTTGCCCGCTAGGACACTTCCAGTGGAAGCGCATGCC